TTTCAATACATCTGTTACAATGGACAGTTATTTTCTGTTATCATGAGATTCAACTATACATGTGTCAAAATATTGAAGCTACAAATTTAGCACAGTTGGCTTATGGGAAACATCCTCTATATAACCTAATTGGCAAAGTCAGTATTTATTGTCAAAGTAATCATACAAATAAGACTTATTTTGTATGAAAAAAAGTCTGATTTCACTTTCCAGTTTGAAGAGCTATGTTAATTTATATCCCTGTAACAACCATCTCACTTCTGAATTCTTGTAACTCAAGTAACCAAGCTCATATAACTCAAATAAGTTGATCCCATTTCCACACACACCACTTCTAAAAGATGTTAAGTGTAGTGCCCTGGACTTAACATTTATCACGTGTGGTAGGTCAGATTATTTGTGCACAATTATTAATTCCCTTCCCATCTTTGCAATCCTTCCCTGCAGACAGAGTACAATTCCCACCCTGTTGACTTTGGACTTGGCCATGGGACTTGCTTTGGCTAGTGGAAGCGGGGAGATGAGGTACGCTGTACCTGAGCAGAAGCTCTAGAGGTGCTGCGAGTTCCCACCAGCACTCTTGCTCCTGCTCTCCGCCTTGGGAACAGCGTGTCCTGAGAGCGTCCTCTTCCTCAGTCTGGGTCTCGGAATGAGAGAGCAAGTGAAGCAGACCCACAGTTCAGAAATGAGAAGAGTGTGGAGCTGCCCACAATCTACCCACAGCCGGGAGCAGAGTTGGAAAACCGCAGACTCCCAGCCGACTTGCAGCTCTGGAGTAAATATTTGCTGTTGCAAGCTGAACCTGGCGAAAGCTGACCAACGCTCTCTTCTAATGGCAACATCCTATACTCTGAGCGAATCAAGCTGAATTTTGGTTGCTGAATTTTTAGCAACCAAAACTTGTTTACAAATAAAACAGTGTTCCCAAGTTAAAGCCTGGAGACAAGCGATGCCTGCTTTTAGTAGCAGTGACCAGTCCTTGTAGCTGCTCTATCCATAGAAATACTTACACACCCTGCCCAAATAGACACAAATAGACTCGAATAAAAGTATCTAAAGTTTAAGAAAAACTATTCACCAATTGCATTCCTAGGCATGTTTTATGCATGTCACCCTCTCAACAGTAATGCCATTCTCTTTGCTACAATATCAGCCATAAAAATATGAATTGGGAGGGATGGGATTCATTAGTCTAAAGTTTATTTTTTACCTACTGCAATTTTAAAAGGGTTTTTAAATTTTAACATAGTTTAATTTATAAGGAGTTGCAAAAAGAGTACAGAGAGTTCCCATTCTGCAGACTGCCCCACCACAGCATTCCATACAGACACAGCATGTTATTAAAAGCAGGAAACTGACATTGGTACAATCCTAACAACTCAACTACAGACTTTATTTGGTTTTAATGATGTTTACATGCAGTGTGTGTGTGTGTGTGTGTGTGTGTGTGTGTGTGTGTGTGTGTGTGTGTGTGTGTATGCGGGTGTGGGTGTAGTTCCATGAAACGTTATCACGTGGATAGATTAGTATGTCCATCACTACAGTTAGGATATAAAACTGCTCAGTCACCTTTTTATAGCCACATTCTCCCCCAACCCTGACCCCTGGCATCTACTGGTCTGTCCCACCTCCCTCTAGTTTTTTTCACTTGCGGAATGTTATATAAATGGAATGCTGTACGTAACATTTTGTGATTGGCTTTTTACTCTCCGCATAATGCCCTTAAGATCCATCCAAGTACGTTCTTTTTCTTTCTTTCTTCTTTCTTGTTTTATACTGCTGAGTAGTATTCCAGCTGCGTGGATAAAGTGCAGCTTCTTTACCACTCACCCGCTGAAGGGCACATGGATTGTTTCTAGCTTGGAGCTATCGTAAATAAAATTCCTCTGAACATTCACATATAGGTTTTTGTGTGAACATGAGTTTTCATTTCTCTAGCATAAATTCCCAGGTGTGTGATGCTGGGTTTTATGGTAAATGTATGTTTGACTCTATAAGAAACCGCCAAACTATTTTTCAGAGTGTTTGCACTATTTTATATTCCCACCAGCAATGAATGAGAGACGCGGTTGCTACACGTCCTCATCAGTACTTTGTCAGTATTTTCTGGTAAATAAATTTGCACGTTATCAATTGAATTCCCATTTCAATTGATGAGAATCGGGAAAAACTGAATGACTCGTGGATTAAAAAATCAGAAATAACTTTATTAATTTGTTACATATTATGATCAAACTTTTGTTATGTGTTTAACATATTTAGTGAAAGAAAAATGCCTCTACTGCTAAAAACTAATTAGTTTAGCAGCTGCCAGTAGGCACTGGTTAGTCCATGTAATCTTTCTTGCGTAGCAAGTTTCCATCTAAGCCTGGGTCTACTTCTAGGCTCTTCATTTTACGCTACTCATCTATTTTTCTATCTTCATGCCAATAGCTAACGGTTACGTCAGTTACTATCACTTAGTGAGTCTTATTCTGATAAGACTAATTTCCCCCCCTCTCCTCAGAAGTGTCTTATCTATTCTAGGCTCCTTGCAAAAGTTTGAACTTTAGATTTAGCTTGTCAAATAAAAATTCTGTTGGGATTTTCATTGGAATTGAAATGAATTTATAGATTAATTTGAGAGGAATGCATATCTTTACAATGTTTAGTCTTCCTATCCATGAACTTGGTATAATCTTTCCAGTTATTAGCTTATTTTTGTTGTCGCTGCACTTTAGTCTCCAGTATTCCTGAATTATCTCAGGATTTTTCTCAACGATTTGAACACTTTATCATTCACTGGTGATTCTGACTACCTTCCACTGCTGCCTGGCACATTTTTATTCAGCCTTGAAGTCTCAGCTCAAATGCCACCTCCTGGGTGAAGCCTTCCCCATTGTTCCTGACACTAAGAGTATTTTGCACATAATTGCAAGAGCAAATATTTCCTGATTGTTGATGATATGCCAAGGCACTGGTAAGCATTTTCTGAGTATTAACTCATATAATCTTCAAAGCAACCTTCTCAAATCAAAGTTGGTGTTATTTGTGAAAAAATAAGCTCAGAGAGGGCAACTTGATAAGGCACACAGCCAGGATGAGATTAGGGGCAGGACATGCATCCAGGCGGTCCAGTTCTAGAGTCCACGCTCTAACCACGTATACCCCCTGTAAAGTGAAATTGAGTCCCCTTAAAACCGAGTTCCCCTGCTGAGTTTATGATTAACCTCTCTATCCAAAACTTTATTCTCTTTCTTGTCCTGCCCCTGTTCCCCTTAGGATTGAGGAGGATCAAAGAAAAGGGGGATTGAAACCGAGCAGGACCCTGTGGGGTCCTCCTGGGTAAAAAAGCCCCTCCGTACCTATTTCTTTTTTGTAGAAAAAGGCTTTGGTCTCCTAGGTCTTCCCTGAATTCCAAAGAGCAGACTCAAGCAGTTATTAATTAGGGAAGTGAGGGAACGCAGGAACAGAGGAAAAGCAGTCAAGAAACAATAGGTCAGCAATAAAACAGGGTACTAGTTCCTCCTCAAGGGATATATATACAATCTGACACACATCTTTGAACTGTTCTGCAAGAACTAAGACCTCCCCCCCCGCCCCCACCCAGGTGGAGGATGGGGTACATGTTGACCACAAGCACATAGACCCCAGACTAGTTGGAACCAGAAGGTTGACGATCAAGAGTCGCAAGACACCACCTTGTTACCCCACCACCAACAACCAATCAGAAGAAAGTCAGGTCCCCTGCAACCCTCATCCCAAATGTTGCCTTTAAAAACTCTTCCCCAGGCTTCCCTGGTGGCGCAGTGGTTGAGAGTCCGCCTGCCGATGCAGGGGACACAGGTTCGTTCCCCGGTCCGGGAAGATCCCACATGCCATGGAGCTGCTAGGCCCGTGAGCCATGGCTGCTGAGCCTGCGCGTCCGGAGCCTGTGCTCCGCAACGGGAGAGGCCACAACAGTGAGAGGCCCGCAAAGAAAAAAAAAAAAAAAAACTCTTCCCAGAAAGCCATTGGGGAGTCTGGGTCTTTTTGAGCATGAGCTGCCTATTCTCCTTGCTTGGCACCTGCAATAAACACCACACTTCACCACAGCCTAGTGTCAGTAGACTGGCTTTGCTGAGTGTTGGGCTAACGGACCCAAGTGCGGTTGGGTAATAAAAGCAGTTGTATTACTGTAAGGAACTGGTTTACTTAGAGGAAATACAATTATTTTTAAGGCAGAACAAGAAACATTTTAAACGTAAAATTCTCTCTCTGCCTGTTTGAGCCACTACTTTCGTCCCTTTAATGTGCATTGTGCATCTGCATTATACATTAACTAGACCCCCTTAGAAGACACAGGAATGCCTACTCGCCAAAAAAAAAAGGGGGGGTGGTATTTTCTCCTGGCGCCAGCAAGGTAACTCCTCAGGAGATAACATTCCTCTTTCAACCCTGTAAGGGGTCACAGTAACCCACTACTTGCCTTGTTGGACTACGTAAACCGTCAACATGTTACTTTGATGTATAACCCTTTGTCTCAAAAACTTAAGTGCCTGGACCTCTAACAGGAAAAGCAGTCCTCAGAGCTTTCTGAAAGACTATTTCCTGGGTTTTAATCCTCAGGTTGGCTGTAATAAAAATTTCCATTTCTTTCTTAGATTGACTATTGATTGATTTTTTTCATTGACAACTTGCATTCACTCACACATCCCAGAGAAAAAGTTTTGAGTGCACATATCAGATCAGGCACTGTAAAAGGTGCTGGTTGGACATATGGTGATGAATAAAACAAACGTTAAATTAAAATCACACCAATGGGGCTTCCCTGGTGGCGCACTGGTTGAGAATCTGCCTGCCAGTGCAGGGGACATGGGTTCAAGCCCTGGTCCGGAAAGATCCCACATGCCGCGGAACAACTGGGCCCGTGAGCCACAACTACTGAGCCTGCGCGTCTGGAGCCTGTGCTCCGCAACAAGAGAGGCCACAATAGGGAGAGGCCTGCACACCGTGATGAAGAGGGGCCCCCGCTCGCCGCAACTAGAGAAAGCCCTCGCACAGAAACGAAGACCCAACACAGCCATAAATAAATAAATAAAAATTTAAAAATCACACCAATAATTAAATAGGTACAAACAGTGCTAAGTGCCCTGGAATGGGGGGAGGCAGGGAAACCCAGGTTTAGATGAATGAGAATTACAAAGGGGGAGGACAGAAGAAAGATACAGGAAGGGTTTGGGGGAATACCTGTCCTTAGGTGGAGGTCACAGGAGGAGACTCGTGAATTTGATTTAGGATGTGTTGAGTTTTAGGGCCTGAGGCACATCCAGTCTGGAAAAAGGTGGAAATATGGAGAATCTGGGACTCTGGCACCAGGGCTGGGTTGAAGACAGAGGATACTAATCACTAAGGAACAGGCTGTGGTTAAACCACAAACAGGGGTAGGCCTCCCCCAAAGAAAGCTACAGAATGTGAAGCCCGGCAGGCAGAGGAGGAGAAGGGAGGAAAGAAGAAAGTGATAGGGGTGGTGGTGTCTGCCACCTTGTACCTCCAGCACACAAAACAGGGCTTAGCACAGAATAGGTGCTCAGTACTTGTCCGCAGGAGGCGGGCCGAGTGAATGAACGACCCTCTCAGGGCAGCCTTGGTTAAGTCCCTTCCCCTTGGGACCCTCGTTTCCCCTGTAGAATGGCAGTAGCTGCCACTGTCAGGCGGGCTCAGTCCGCCTTCCGCGCACGCAGGGCCAGCTGGGCGTCGGCGGGCTGCGCCAGTGTCCGCTGGAGGGCGAAAGCACGCCGGGCTGCGGAGAGCGGTGGCCTCACCTCCTCCGCGATCGCTGGAGAGTGCCCGGGATGCGCTGGGTGGGAGAGGGCGCGCTGGGGACGAGTCCTGTGCCCAGAGCAGCGCGGACACTGCAGGGAAGCTGAGGTTGGGGTGGGGGGCGGGAGGGGAGGCCCGCGGAGCAGACGGCGCTGGGCGCGCGGTGGGTCCCTGCGGGAGACCCCTCCAGGGTGAGAGTGGGAGGGGCAGGAGTAACCAGGTGAAAAGGAGGGAGAGGTTGGGGAGACGGATCCGAAAGACTCAGAAACCGCTAGGGACTTTCACCTGGGACCCCGGCAGGGCCCAGGAAGGGCAGGTGCGGATGCAGGGGGGCGCCGTACGCCTAAGCCAGCAGACTGAATGACCAGTCACTCCCGCTTGGCCGTCCGCGGGAGCCTGTCTAGGGCACCGCAGAAAAGTCTCGGAGAGCCAGGAGGTGCCAGGGCCCAGACCACTCCTGGAGGGCCCGCCAGAAGCGCTGGAGTCCGTGGGCGCCGCCCGCCTCCGCCCAGAGGCAGAGTTGGGGGCAGGCTTGTCCCACCGACCCCGCGGGATTGGCCCCGCCCCGGGGCCGCGGGGAGGCCCCACCATGGGAGGCGGAGTTCCCGCCGCCCCCTCCAACCCCCTGGACTGCGGCCGCTTCTTAAGCCCGTGAAGCTACTGGCTGCCCCTCTCTCGCCTCTCCCGCCAGACTCCCTCTCCGCGATGGCCTCCGCACTGAGCTATGTCTCCAAGTTCAAGTCCTTCGTGATCTTGTTCGTCACCCCGATTCTGCTGCTGCCACTCATCATTCTGATGCCCGCCAAGGTCAGTTGCGTCTCTGGGCAGCCCCTTGGATTCTGGGCGCCGGGTGCCCAGTAGCAGGCACCGAACCCGGGAGCATTAGGTGGAGCGCACGGATTCCCGGGGGCGGGCACGGCTCCCCTGGGGCACGGAGGCTCAGGAGCTCCGGGTGCTATGGGAGGTGCCCTGCAAGGAATTCTGACAGGTATGGATCTTGGGGTTCACAGATCCCAGGGCGCAAGAACTGTTTTGGCAAGCACAGAAACCCAGAAGTTAGCACCGATCTTGGCCACACAGCCCCTCTATAGGCTCAGAATCTCCCCAGAGTGCATAACCCGGTCCCCAGGCCCCCCAAGTGCCACCTGTATCAAGAGGGAGCCTGGGGGCTTGTCTTTCCCTTCTTTCTCCTGTCTCTTCCCTTGGGGAATGGGGACTTCCCAGCTGTAGGTGGCTTCCGAGGCCAGTCGGGGACCTACACGGAAAGATCATCACCTAAGTGAACCCTGAGTGCCATCTTTGTCCCTCTCTGGCCCTCCTTTGAGCCTCGGTTTCCCTGTCTATGATCCACATTTCTTTCCAGCTCTGAAACCTGGGCAGCCACAGCTGAGTCAGAAACCTGCTCCCAGCTGAAAGGCAGGTCAGGTCTGCCTGCTTTTGCTCACTGCCTGCTGTGGAGGCGGCAGGAGGTGGGACACGGTCCCAGAGCTCACGCCTTGGGTGGCACGACGCAGGGTCTCTGGGAAGCCGTGTCCCAAGCCCTGGCCTCCTGGTGCTCCCAGGAGGGAAGCGGAGAATGAATGGCCTTGGCCACAGGGTGGGGGCAGTGCGGGGAGCCCGGGCCCAGGCCCTGCTGGGCAGTGCGAGGCCTGTTTGGCAGAGGCCCGAGCCCTTTGAAGGCTTTTGGCTGCTGGCTGCTCCTTCCTCATTTCCTCTTTCCACCTTTCACTCTCAGCCCAGACAGGAAACCTCAGCTCCCCCCAGCCCAAGCAAGTTTGGGAAACGGAGGAGCTCTTTAGGGGATGTTCTGAGGGCAGTCCTAGAGGAATGGGGTTGTACTGGGATATCGGGAAGCCAATCTTTGAGAGAACTGGACTTCCACCTTTCACTCATCCTTGTGATTTTATTATTTATTTATTTTACTTTTGGCTTTGTTGGGTCTTTGTTGCTGCACGCGGGCTTTCTCTAGTTGCGGCGGGTGGGGGCTACTCTTTGTTGCTGTGGCGGGCTTCTCATTGCAGTGGCTTCTCTTGCTGCGGAGCACGGGCTCTAGGCACGTGGGCTTCAGTAGTTGTGGTTTGTGGGCTCTAGAGCGCAGGCTCAGTAGTTGTGGCGCACGGGCTTAGTTGCTCCGCGGCATGTGGGATCTTCCCGGACCAGGGCTCGAACCCGTGTCCCCTGCGCTGGCAGATGGATTCTTAACCACTGCGCCACCAGGGAAGCCCCATCCTTGTGATTTTAGCCAAGCCCCTGCGTTCTCTGGGCCTTGGTGTTCTTGTCTGTACGATGGGGCAAGGTGGTTTGGTTGTTGACATTTTATGGCTTTTGGTGCCAAAAGAGATTATGCTGGTTCCTAGGATGGGGGAGGGGGAGGCTGGGAGGAGCCCTTGGGTGGGCTGAACACAGACCCTGGATGGGCCAAGGACAGCAGATCCAACTAGAGTGGTTCTTTAGTTTCCACACCAACTGTGATCGGCCATATCTCCTCTGTAGAAAAAAATTTGGGGCTGTTATCATCTGTGGGAGGGAGCCAGGCAGGAGAGCTGTGATTTTAGTTCTGCTGGTGGGGAGTGAGGTTCCCTGGACATCAATTATGGTAGCTTTGCTGACCTTCCTGCTCCAGAAGAGTATGACCGAGATCCCACCACCACCCCTGCCCATCCCATCCCCCCACACACAGGTGGCCCTGAGCTGGGACCCTCAATTCAGGCTGTGAATGCATGTCATTGACCTGCCCCGGGAGTGAGAATCAGGTGAGGGAAGAGGAAGTATCAGTAAAGGTCGTTCCAGGGGCTGACTTCATGTGCTTTCTCTCCCAGTGGTGCAGGTGACTGGGAGCCAGAACCCTGTCTGCTTGTTTTCTCCCTGTGTGCTTCTGTTTTGGTCACCCTGAAGAGCTCCCCGTCCCCACCCACAGCCACAAAGTTTGCAGGGAAACCCAGGGCAGGGGGCAGAGCAGCGGGGAAGCTGGCGAGAACTTGGCAGCCTGGGTGGCACTGTCCAAGCGGGGCGGCGACTCCCAGGGCATGTCACCCTCTGCCAGTGCCCAGGCCCCTCTCCTGCAGGTTTTCTTCTTTTCCTCTTCTCCTACACCTTGCTTTCTTCCTGTCTTCATCTCTGCTCCACTTTTCTGCCTGTTCTCTGGGTTCTTTCTTTTAAAAAAAATAGCTTTTTATTAAATAAAAAAGTAGATTCATTGTGTTATTAAAGTTATGTTTTTTTTTTGTTTTTTTTTTTTTGCGGTACGTGGGCCTCTCACTGCTGTGGCCTCTCCCGTTGCGGAGCACAGGCTCCGGACGCGCAGGCTCAGCGGCCATGGCTCACGGGCCTAGCCGCGCCGCGGCATGTGGGATCTTCCTGGACCGGGGCACGAACCCGTGTCCCCTGCATCGTCAGGCGGACTCTCAACCACTGCGCCACCAGGGAAGTCCTATATATTATTTTTAAAGTCTGTGAAGTATAAAGTAAAAATGAAAAGACTTTCAAATCCCATAAGACACATACACAGTATGTTCTCTTAGCTACAATTTTCCATTAAGCACCATGTCATGGACGCCCTTATTTGTTAATAATTAGGTAAATAATGAGCCATGGTTTTCTCCAGTTGTGCACTTAACGTATTTTTTGAGTCCCACTATGTGCTCTCCACTGTGCTGGGTGTGGACTTTTAAATCCCACTGTCCACTGTGAGCTCAGCTTGCAGTGCTCCTCCGGCCACATTCTCAGCTGCAGGGAAGGCTCTGAACTGACCAAGAACTGGGCTCCCATCTGCAGGTAGAATCCATCTCATTCTGCACGGTGACCAACCCCTCCTCAGGCTTCCCCAAGGTCACCTGTCCTATTCTGCTCTCTCCACAACACTCTGGGAGCATTCTAGACGAGGGAGGGTCAAGTTTGCTGACTGGTAGTATTCAGGGATGGGGCACCCTCCTGGGCCTCCTGATAGGAGCATGGAAGTGAGAGGGCAGTTAGCCTGTGTCTTTTCTGTTGGTTACTTCTGGCGCCTCTAGGAACTGTCCCGGGAAAACTGGTTACACATGTCACCTGCCGCTTCTAAGTTCAGATAATAAAAAAATCACTTTCTGTGTGCCATATGTTAAGAATGGGTACTTTTAAATTCTCAATTTACAGGTGAGGACATGAAACAAGCAGGGGGAGGGGCCAGGGTTGGGAGTGGGAGGAATGTTTTATCAAAGACATTGTTGGGACTTGTTCTCACATGATGATAAGGAGAGAGGGCTTCCCTGGTGGCACAGTGGTTGAGAGTCCGCCTGCCGATGCAGGGGACGCGGGTTCGTGCCCCGGTCCGGGAAGATCCCACATGCCGCGGAGCGGCTGGGCCCGTGAGCCATGGCCGCTGAGCCTGCGTGTCCGGAGCCTGTGCTCCGCAACAGGAGAGGCCACAACAGTGAGAGATCCGCATACCGCAAAAAAAAAAAAAAAAAAGACATTGTTGGGAATTGTTCTCACATGATGATAAGAAGAAGGAGAGTGAGTTTTAGACAGTATTACCGTTTTAAAATTCTCTACAGCACACCCTCTTACTGCGCCCCCCTGCAGCGGACCATTCCTACCTCTCTCTCCCTTGACACCAAGGCCCAGAGAAGGCGTAACTGAAGCCCGCACAATGGCAGACAGCAGACGCTGATCAGGCCTGCCCGGTGTCAAAGCCTGGTCTTCTAACCACGTTGCTATCCTGCCTTGAGCCCAGAGGCTTCAACCAGCATTGATTCTCCCCTCCTTCCCAACAAAGGCACATCTGACAAAGTTTGGAGACATTTTTTGTTGTCACAACTGGAGAGTGCCACTGGCATCTAGCAGGGTGGAGGCCAGAGATACTGCCAAACATCCTACCATGCACAAGACAGGCCCCCACCCCCCACCAACACAGAACCATCCAACCCAAAATGTCAGTAGTGCCGAGGCTGAGAAACCCTGCATTAGACAGTAGAGAGGTGTCCTGGGGTTCTCATGGGCTGCCGAAGAAAGATTTATTTTTATCACTGATAACACAATCCAGACAAAGAATGTCTCAGCCTTTGTGTGATGCTCCATGCGTATAATATGTGTTATCTCGGGTGGTGATAAACAGTGATTGTGTGCAGGTACGTTTTCCCAGCAGTGTTGTCACAGCCCGTGCTGTGCTGGTCCGTTTCTCTAATCAGCATCTGCAGTGTCCCTGGGGTTTCAGGCCTGTGCTGGATGCCGAGTGACACGGATTCTGCCCTCCACTGCTCACTCCACTGTTCAGTGTTCAATGGTGGGTGGAATATAATGCCAACCCAGTGTGCTAATTGCTGCGGGTGGGGGCGTGCATAGAGGAAGGACACAGACCCAGACTAGAGGCAGCAGTGAACTGAGCCCCAAGCACTCACTCCAGGCCAAAGGAATGATGTCATGTGTGAGAGCAGCTGTGGGAGGCGGAGCATCTGCCTCAGTTCCCACCAGTGCCCTGGGGTCTCAGGAGCTCGGGGTGGGAATGGGCATGGGAGATGTGGCTGGAGGGCCCTGCAGGGCCTGCTCCATCACAGAGGGTCTCCCAAGACATGCTAAGGCATTTGGCTTTTGTCCTGAAGGCAAAGGAAGGCTTTTAAACAAGGGAGTGATATGATCCGGTTTGTAAAAAGAGAAAGAGGGAGCAGCAGCGTGGAGTGATGCAAGTAGAAAGATCGTATTAGAAGATAGCTGTGCTGTACACCTGAAATTAACATGATATTATAAATCAACTATACTTCAATTACAAAAAAAAACCTACAGTGAATAAAACAGCAAATAAAAAAAAAGATAGCCGCAGTGATGCAGGCAGAAGATGTGGCCTGAGCAAAGGCAGGGCCACAGGGTGAAGGAAGAAGGGAAAGAGGAAGATTTTGGGGTAGAAGTTATAGGTTTTGGAGGCTGATTAAACTGGAGGGGGCTGGAATGAGGGAGAGGCAGAGCCTGGTTGGTTAATAATGATTATAGTAAAAATGCTGATGAAACAAAAAACAACCCAGGGAGGTGGGCATTATTATCCCTATTTTATTAGGCGATGAGACGGAGAATTAAAGTCCTACAGTGAGTAAGGGGCCGGGGCCGTGAGCGCTTGAACCAAACCCAGGTCTGTCTCACTCCAAAGCCAAGATCCCAGTGGCTAAGTAGCTAAAGGGTGTGAACAGGCGGTTCACACAAGATTAAATACGAACAGTAAAGCTTGAGACCCTTGTAACTAGAGAGGCTAATAGACACCAAGACTATCTTCTCAGTTATAATAAAAAACAGCCCTGCAAATCCTCAGCGCTGGCCATTCTCTGAATGAGCTGGCTTAGAACACACATTTCTGGGAGCCGAGAAAGTTGGAGCAGCCTTTTGAGAAGGAAATTAGATAGAGATACCAGGAGTTTGAGGATGTGCTTTGGGGAGCCTTCCCTAAGAATTGCACTTACTTTGTAAAATGATTTAATTTTTAGAGCAGGTCATCAGAAACAGTATTTTCTTTTTTCTTCTCTTCTTCCTCCTCCCCCCTTCCCCCCACTTGCACTCCTCCTCCTTTTCCTCCTCCTCCTCCTTTCCCCCCTCTTCTTCCCTGTGAAGACGTGAGGATGGATGCAAGGCTTGGAGGGGTGAGAGACCTGCCCAGGACCGCACAGCTGAGGGGCAGGGGCCTCTTGGTGACGGGTCCTGTGCCCTCCTCACTGTCCTGAACCTGGAAGGCTGTGCTGACGGGGGCAGGGAAGCAGCGGTCCCCACTGACGTGCCACCCTGTTTTGACAGTCCATGCCCTGCTGTCCCGAGCGTTCTGGGGTGGGGAGCAGGGCGGCAGCAGCTCGCCAGGCCTCAGTGCCGTCTCTTCAGTTTGTCAGGTGTGCCTATGTCATCATCCTCATGGCGATTTACTGGTGCACAGAAGTCATCCCTCTGGCTGTCACTGCCCTCATGCCTGCCTTGTTTTTCCCGCTCTTCAAAATTCTGGACTCCAAACAGGTGAGCAGCCCCAGGGCATCCGGGCGGCTTCCTGCTTCTCTCCCAGTGGCTCCTTCTCCGAGCCCTTCTCTGAGCTGCCTAGGACCCGGGGGACTAGATAATACCCTGTTTGTGGGCTCTCTCTGGCATAGAGACATACCCTTGACCCTCCATCCCCATTCCAAGCTGCCCTGAAGTCAGCATACTCTGCTCGCCTATCTCTGGGGACTTGGGTGACCCTGAGCCCAAGTAGTGTGTGGTCAGGGGGCAGGCCTGATGGGGCCTCCATGCCGTCCTGCAGGTGTGCGTCCAGTACATGAAGGACACCAACATGCTGTTCCTGGGTGGCCTCATCGTGGCTGTGGCCGTGGAGCACTGGAACCTGCATAAGAGGATCGCCCTGCGCACGCTCCTCTGGGTGGGGGCCAAGCCTGCCCAGTAATTACGCCTTCTCTCTTACCGCAGGGCTCTGCAGTAGGCCCCAGGGCCAGGGAGGGGCATGTGGCACAGGCCAGATCCCCCACAGGCAAGGACTGGCCATGGCCTTATCTGGGCTTTGCAGCCAGGCAGACCCCTGGGTGGGTGGAGGCTGGATCAAGCCATGCCTGATACCCCTAGGGGCTTTGTGGGGAAAGCGGGAAAGAGATGGCTCAACTATGCAGCTCAGGGGGGAGCAGAAAGGTCATCCCTCCAAGGCTGGCACATCTACTCCCTCTGCAAAGCTGCTGCTTACTCCACCCTTCCCCCATTACTCAGTCGTCTCACCCCTCTCCAGGATCTCCCCTGACAGTCACAGGCCATTCCGACCAAGCCGTGGAGTTGATACAGCAGAATCACCTGGGTGTACTGAGCGCCCACAGGGTCCCGGGCATGATACCGGGGGCTTATTTACCACCTCATCTGACTCTCACCGCACCTCTGAGGGTTGGGGATTATTCCCATCACCCACGTTCTGTTCTGAGGCAGAGAGGGGTTAAATGGTTTGCTGACGTCACATGGGGATTAGACCGGGCCTGTCTGATGGGGCCTTGCCCCCTCTAATTGGGAACTCAGCATGCACCTTTTTTTGAGGCAACGTGCTCCCTAAATGATGGCGTGACCCAGCCCAGCCCTGGGAAGGCAGGTTGGTAGCTCACAGTAAATCCCTCCTGCTGCGTCCTCACGTCAAGGGCCATGCTGGGCTCTGAGCACACAGAGGCCCCGGCCCGCCCGAGCACCCCTGGCGCCTCAGCAGCCTGAGTGAGGGCTTTGTGACTCTCCGACCTGTCACCCGAGCCCCTCCAGTGACTGGTTTACAGTGTCAAATCAGAAGCCATTGCATTTTCTAGAGATGTGAGGCCTCAGAGTTCCTGTTTTCAGGATCCTCTGAGTGGTTGGCTTTTCTCCGTCAGCGGGGGTGGGGGGGGGTGGGGCTCATTCTGGAGTGTGCTGGAGCGCCTTTGCTCCCAAACCCGGGGTGCCCAAACCCACACGCTTCTCTGCTCCTTCCTGTCACCTGGCTCCTCCTCCGAGCCTGGCTTCCAGCTGTCCAGGGCACTGCCTGTGCTGGGGGCGACCTGTATGTTGAGGCTCCCTTGATGCCTCGGAGCATCATCTTGAAGCCTCATTCATGTGAACTCTGACCCTCATCCTAGCCTGGATCCCAGCCTTTGTACTTATGGGTCCATGAGGTCTACCTGCATGGATACCAGCTAAAGCCCAGTGCAGTGCAGCCCCGAGACCCTTCTTCAGGCAAACAGATTAGTGGCCCTGGGGAGGAGCCTGCCTGCAGAGGGGCATGGAGACCAAGAGGTTGAGTTCCATTTAGCCAACCACCCCTCCCAAGCTCCTCTGCTCCTGGCCTTGTGCCAGGTGTGTGGGACCCATGGAGAGGAATCAGACCTTCCCTGCTCATGTGCTAAGGAGAGAGCAGACATGGAAACAGTTTCAAATCCAGCCAGCGAGAAGTGTCCTAGAGAAGACTGAGGAGGGTGTGGTCAGCCCTACCTGGTGCGCACTGGGAAGGAGGTGACAGAGAAGGGATGCTGCCTGAAGGCTTTGAGAGACCGTGAGTTTTCTAGGCAGATGACACAGGTGGCACAGAGGTGGAAGGTGGGGTGTTACACGGAAACGGAACGTTTTCTGAATACTGTTTGGGGATCTGGTCCACTGCAGAGCGGAGGGTGGCAAAGAGTGTGAATGGAGGGAGGTGGGGCAGGGGATCAGCCGTGAAGGAGGTCCCACTTCCCAGGGCCCTCCCCGGCTCATCCTACCCTTGAAGGCTGACTCCTCGCAGCCCTTCTGAACTCATGAGGGGAGAGGTGGGGTCAGGGTGGGTGGGAATCTTCTAGATAGAAGTGGGAAGTTTGGTCTGCCTGCACACAGGGCTGCTCAGCGCACCCCTACGTCATATTAGGGCCAACTCTCCACACTGGGTCCACACAGACTGGATGCTGGTGCTTCCCTGGCTAGATGGTGAGCGCCTTAGGACCACGACTGAGGCTCAGGCTGCCTGGTGACCCGGTAGCCAGCAGAGTAGATGTCAGTAATGTTTGTGGGAGAGAGGGGCAGAGGGAAGAAGGGAAGGGAGGGAGGGAGGGAGGCAGGCAGGCACTAAATCTGCAATCCCCTCCTGGATAGCCAACCTTGAACTGGCCTCAGCACCCTGGCCCTGACCCCTGGCTTCCCTGCAGGGGGCGCCTAGCGCACCCCCCCCCACCCCCACCCCGCTGCTCCCCAGGGGCTGTGAGAGGTGGGGGCGGGGATTCTCCGGCTTTCCTCCCTGCCCCTCCTCTGCAGGCTGATGCTGGGCTTCATGGGCGTCACGGCCTTTCTCTCCATGTGGATCAGCAACACGGCCACCACGGCCATGATGGTGCCCCTTGTGGAGGCCGTGCTGCGGCAGATGGAGGCCATGAGCGCAGCCACCGAGGCCAGCCTCGGGGCTCTGGAGCTGGCAGACAAGGGCAAGGCCGGCGAGCTGCCAGGTGAGGCCCCGGCCGGGGCAGCCTGCCCCTCTGTTGCCAGCAGCTTTAGCCACCTCCCTGCTTCCTGGAGCCCTCCTTTTAGCAGGCACGTAGAGAAATACTTAAAAGACGCTGTTTTCCTAAGTTTTAGGAATGTGATTAGTGCATAAAAGTTAGATCCTTGAGTAGAGCTTATAGCAAGTTCCTGCCCTCCGTTCCCGCCATCACTGAAATGAATACGTGTTGATTTGATCATTCATTTGGGTATCTTTTGAGCACCTACTGGATGCCCCTCAACCCCTTCTACCCCTACTCATCCTCAGGGCGGCCTCCTCTGAACAGGCCAAATCCCTCCACACTCTGTTCCCGCAGGTACTGGGGTTGGTCGTCCCACCTTTGCTTCCCCGCTAGGCACCGACCTCAGGAGAGTCAGAGAGTGCCTGTGTTTTTCTCTGTCTTGTTCGCTACCCCATCCCCAGGGCCCGGCGTGGGGCCACTCAGGGCCTGTGCTGACAGCCTGATTGCCGGACCCTGGGCCAGGTCCTGGGGCTGCAGAGATGAAGCAGACACACTCCTATCGTGCAGCCCAGTGGGACGGAGTCAAGAGGCCCCTCGGAGAGTTCGTCTGACTTGGGGGAGGCCAAGGGTTGCCATTAGCCAGACACTGAGGGAGCGCAGAGAAGGGAGAGGCCTTGCTAGGAGGAGAGGACATCTGGGATGGATTTGGGCCCCTCCCTCCAGATGAAGGGAGCAGCTTGAGTAAGAGCAAGGAGGCAGGAAAGAAAGGAGTGTGTCTGACGTCGCTGACTGGGCTCGCCGAGGGACGTAGCTGGGGGTCACGTGGGGCCGGATAAGAGCACTGGGCTGGAGGCGGGCGACAGAACCTGGACGGGGAGCCGGCAGACCTGGCATGCCTGGGTCCTCAGGTCAGCGGCAGGGTCAGGAGCTGAGGCTGGGCAGGTGGTCCCCAGTGTGCCCACGGCAGTGTGCCCACCACAGGGAGCCAAGAGAATTTTGAAGGTCCCTCCATGAGGCAGCGGGAGGTCGACAGGAAGAACATATGCAAGGCCATGACCCTGTGCGTGTGCTACGCAGCCAGCATCGGAGGCACTGCCACCCTGACCGGCACGGGACCCAACGTGGTGCTCCTGGGACAGATGCAAGAGTGAGTCGCTGGCCATGCCTTTTGGGGACAACAGTGGGGAGAGGATGGGGCTGGAGGGGCCCACCCACCTCTCCCTCCTCTTCAGCTGGGCTCTGGAGCCTGGATGGGGGTGGGGGCCGCCTGGCAGGGGTGAGAGGGTGGGCCGCCATCAGCCTCTGTGGCCCAACCTCCCTGCACATGCTCAGGACCCCACAGCACAGGAGCTGATGTCCACAGACCGGGTTGCTTTCTGCTCAGGACAAGTCCTGCCTTTCTTTCCTGGGCTCAGGATTCTCACTCAGACAGGGAATGTGGATCGAACGTGGAGCTAGTCATGGGAATTGACAGTGTAATCCGAGAAGCGGGGTCCTTGGTTAAAACTTGTAGAAAATAGATGCCCCTAAAGATGCTCCCCTCAAAGCTGGCTCACGACCTCGGTTGTTAATGGCGATGGTCCTATGACACCTGGAAAGGTTAGAGGTTAGGTCACCTGGTGCCTCACCGCCTCTTTCACTATGGCCCCTCTAATTGCCCTTGAGAGGGACGTGTGCCCCTGTGAGGCTCCAGGTAGACCATGGGGTGGTTTAGAACTTTCCAGCCTTGGCCACAAAGGGACCCAGGCTTTGAGGACCCAGTTCTGTTCTTGGTCTTGTGCCGGGTGGGGCTTGGGTCACAGAAGTGAGAGGAACCTGGGCCCTGCCCATGGGATACTCGTGGGCAGCTGAGGGTAGCAGACATCCAGAGAGTTCTGGTGGGTTGTGTAAATGAAAATAAGTACAAATTGCAGTGGGCGCAGAGGGAAGGAACAGAAGTACGACGGTGCCCGTCCTGTGCAGACAAACACCCTGGACAGGGGTCGGGAGGGCAGCTGGGAGGTGGGAAGGGCGGGCCTGCAGACACTCGAGATCCAACAAGCAGACTGTTTTGCTCCTGCGAGTGTTTTCTGTAATGACAGCCTTATGGTTTCCCCTGAAGTTCCTCTGGGCTGAATGGGAAAAGCTCTGTGGCTAGTTTGACACCCTTGGGCTAAAGGGAGCAGTGCCTGGGGTTGGGGGCGGAAGTGACCCTCCTCCAGCCCCCAGGAAACATCTTCTGGTCCCACCCTGGGAAGCTTTTGAGATTTGATTTCCTAAGGGGGGGGGCCTTCCCTTGCAGAAGCCCACGGGGTGAGGTTCTAAGGCATCTGTGGACCCCCTGAAGCTGTTGGCCAAAATCTGTGTGTACAAAGGGGTATTTTTCTGGACTGAAGGGCCATGCCTTTCGTGAGCTTCTCAGCGGGGTGTGGACCTCCAGGAGGGGCAGTTGGTCGCTCCTCAGGCTTGCCTTGTGCGTGGCTGTGTTCTGGGGCCCTTGCTTGACTGGGGTAATGCTGAGGGACGGGTGTGGGTGGCTGGACTTCAGGAGGAGGGGGCCCCACTCCAGACCCCCTCTCGGGGCCCGGCAGCTGCTCAGCCTCCGCCCGCTCTCCGCAGCTCAGTGTCTGGTAGAGATGTGGACCAGCATTTTCCCCTTCAGATTGTTTCCTGACAGCAAAGACGTCGTGAACTTCGCCTCTTGGTTTGGATTTGCCTTCCCTAATATGCTGATCATGCTGCTGCTCTCCTGGCTGTGGCTCCGGTGTACTTATATGAGATTCAAGTAAGTTTGAGATGTTTATGGCACAGAGGATCTAACCGTGCCTCGGCTCAGCAGGGGAGTCTAGAGAGTCCCTCCTGCAGCCCCATCTCCTGCTAGTTTGCCCTCCAGTTCGCGCTACCCCTGCTGCTCACCGTGCCTCTGCACATGCTGTTCCCTCTTCCTGGAATGCCACTCCCTGCCTTCCTACCTTCCAACCTCCTCAGTCCTCAAGGCCAGTTCAAATGCTCCTTCCTCAGCGACACCTTTCCCAACTCCCCCTACCCCCATTCTGATTCTGACGGATTGCCTGCTCGCTGTTCCGGACTTCCCTGGGCACACCACGCCTTGCCCCTTGGCACCTGTAGTCATGCTCCAGTGCCAGCCCTCCCCTGACCTGAGCTCCTCTGTGGCCTGCGGTAAGTCCTCTCTGACCCCTACACCCGGCCGGGCTCCCAGCCCAGGGAGAAAGAGTAGGTGTATCCTTGTCAAAGCAATTAACAAGAAACTTTGTTCTTGGTGCCGGTCAACACTGCTGGACAGACTTCCACTTGGCTGCCAGTGTCTGTCAGGCCAGGTCACAGCAGACCTCCTGATAACACCCACGTCAGTCCAAACCCAGATTTACTGAATGCTTACTATGTTCCCAGCAGCGCACACCTTCTGCAAAGTTTACCTTCCAGTTCCCAGCACACAGTTGACCAAGAGTCAACCCTGACAGCAGCCAGACTTTGGACAGAAACCATGATGTGTGGCTGACAAATACCTCAAAATGTTGTTGTCATTTTTAAATGCACAAACTTCTCTATGGCGTGAAGGTGACCCTCTCACACTGGAGTATAGAGTACCTAGCTGTGAGCCATGTGCTCTGTGCCTTAACTCACACGGCGCTTGAGCCCAGCAAAAAAACAGAGGCCTATGCGGCCCAGAGATCTCAGAGCTGACAGGTAAAAGCGCCCACGAAGACCTGTGCGTTAATGGGAAAAGGGGCACTCTGGTTAAGCTTTCTCCTGAAGGAGGAACTGTTCTCAAGACTGCCGTTCAAAAAATCTCTGTCCATAATCAAAGCAGCCATAATGACGACATAACGGTAGCTGTAGGCATTCGTCGCACACCCCACCCTGCCCGGTGTGAAAGGGAAGCTGCTCCTACGGGTGCTTGGCTGCAGTTTGAATCCCTCATCTGGTTGGTCGTGGAGAGCAATGTCAGGGTCATTCCCTCCAGCCTAATGCTGAAAAACTCTAGCTTCCTGAGTCTATGGGCAGCTTCCTAGGCCACATCCAGCCAAGGGAGCCACAGACCCTCCCAAGAGCACCCAGGACTCTTGGGATATTCCTGCTGGCTTACACCCAACTTTCCTCACCAGGCTAAGCCCTGAGTTAGGCATGACGGTTCTTCTGGCCCCTGCCAAGGGGCTCGGGGTCCCTTTGCCTCTCCTGCAGCGCACTGACCCAGTTCATCATGCACCCACCCAGCTCCCGGGGCCCCCACAGGAAAGCTGGATCCATCTGCCTGCATCTCGTGCCAGCCCAGCGGTCACCAGACGGATAAACCCAAAGATGAATGTGAAACCACTTAGTGTGAGAGGGACCTGAAGGCCTGGGGGCACCACTGCAGGGGGCCAGCACTGGACAACTGCATATACGATGCAGCCCCCGGAGTCTGCAGCCAGTGTGGTGTCGGGATGCGTCTCCAGCATCAGACAGGGGCTGGGCAGCTACCAAAGTCACCCCTTATCCTGGAAGCCTGAAGCCTCTGGTCCAGCCCCCGAGTCTCGAGAACGACAGGTGGCAGCAGATCGGTAGTGGGTGGAACACAGACGCTCTCAGGCCAAGGGGGCGAGGACAAGGAGGCCAGCTCCCACGCCAGCAGAGCCATCCCCATGCTGGGTGATCTGGAGGTGTCCCTGAGGACAAACGTCCTTGCCCCTTGTCCAGAACGCAGATCTTGGCCGGCGGTGCAGACCTGAGTCCCCATCACTGCCATTTCCTTTCCTAACCCCTGAGCACCGCGGGAAGCTGTGTCCCAACCTCCTTGAGTCCCTGCTCTAGGCCGTGCCCCATGCCCTGCATGGTCCTCACCCTCTCAAGGGTGGTTCCCGTCCAGCCCTGGCTTCAGCATTCGGCACCTCAGCATGTATTCCATTAACCCCTGTGCTCCTAGGAAGTCTGTTTTAGGGTCCCAGGAAGGACTCCCACAAGGGAAGCCTCTCTAGGGATAATCCTCTTGGCCTTGCCCCCCACCTTCAGGCTGACGGGGGCTGGAACGTGTGATTGGAATCCTCAGGGTTGGCATCCTGTGTGCCAGTGGCCCCCGTCAGCCCCTCCCCAAGGCTAGGTACCCTCTATAACTCCTCCGAGATCCCTCCTCCTTCCTGCCCCCTCCTGCCAACACTCCCCAGGGAAGTCCTGCAGGGTGCCCTGGGCAGGCGTGTTGGCCAATGGGCACTGGTTCCTAGGGAACCCATCCAAGAGCAGGACCTGGCTGGCTTCCCTCCTGCCCTAGCTACAGCTACTACGAGCGCCAGAGTCTTCTGGGTCCTTAATCCTACATGTCAGCTCCTTGCAATGCAAGTACCCACCCTGTTCCTGCCTGACCCGGTCTGCTGGGACCTGTCCTTGTTCCTTGTGTCCTCTTGAGCCACCTGCTGATGGGGACTGGCATCCTGGCACCATCGAAGGCAGCTCCAGGCCGCAGTGGGAGGAGGAAGACGGAGCATGTGAAGGAGCCTCGGCCCCACCTTGTGCTGGTTCCAGATTTCTCACGGCCACCCCCAGATGTCGGCAGCCACCGGTCTCTAGGCGACTGGCACCTGCCGGGACCCCCTTGCCAGCAGTGGCCTCGGCTCTGCTTCCTTCTGCTTCCGATGCTCCTGTCCATCCCGTTCCCTGTTTTGCTCAGCCTCCCACCCTCCTGACCATCCTCTCTTCCTACCTCCACTGTCCCTGACACCCCACCTGTGCCATCTCAGGCTTCTTCTGGGGGCACCCTGGGGGCATATGCTGGGCCCATGAAACAGAGACTTTGCCCCACTATGTCCTGTGAGGTAGGGTAGGCAGATGACAGAATTGGGGAGTGGGAAGGGACTTGCTCAAGGGCCCCCGGGTGACAGGCAGCCCTGTGTGGCTTTCTATCATGTTCTGCTGCCCAGTGTTCACGCTTCCATTCAACCAACCCTGAGTCAACCAACACGCCCCGCCATCCTCTTGTCTTTGCATTCTCTAGTATTAAAGAGTCCTGGGGCTGCGGGCTGGAGAAGAAGAGTGAGGAGAAGGCTGCCCACGAGGTGCTGTGGGCGGAGTACAGGAAGCTGGGGCCCCTCTCCTTCGCTGAGGTCAACGTCCTACTCTGCTTCTTCCTGCTGGTCGGCCTGTGGTTCTCCCGGGACCCCGGCTTCATGCCCGGCTGGCTGTCAATCACCTGGGTGGAGGGCAAGACAAAGTAAGTGGCTCCTCCCACAGCGCATCCCCATGGCTCTCCTCCTTTTCTGCTGTCCAGTTCTGGAGCACTCTGTTGGTTTCTGGACTCATTTTTGTCTCACCAGTCTTCCTGACAAGCTCACAGATGTGTTCTTGTGGCCCCTCTTGCCCCAACAGGCTGGCAGGATAGCCAGGCTGTTATAGAGAGAGGTCGGTTGGGCTGGGACTGGGGCTCTCAGCGCTCTGGTTTCCAAGTCTCTGTTCTGCCATCTTTCCTTTCTCATCTTTCTTCAGGTCCAGGCGAGTCCCTCTGAAGACACACATCCTGGGGTCCAGAAGCTTCTTTAGACAGAGACTTGGCAAAAGGGGGGATATGAAGTTTCTCTCCTGGCTAAGATGTTATGTGGTCAGAATAGAAGAAAGGTTGAGAAACATGCATATCCTAGAAAGGGCAGGAGATGTGGACAGGGAGATTGCTGCCTGTTACTGCTCATTCAATTTTGAAGGTCTGCTTGGGGTAGCCCCAAGTCCTTGTGGCCACCCTGGTGAACCCAGAATCCCAGAGAATCTGGTTGGGAAGAGCTCATGAAGTTCACCTATGGAGCAACACAGACAGAGAGGGAAGTGAGCCGCTCAGAGCCACTCGAAGTTGGTGGCAGAGCTAGGCCAAGAACGCCAGAGTCTCGGTGTCCAGCCAGGATTCAGTCTACCTCACCCCTCCTGATCTTGGCCTTTGGGGTTCCAGTTTTCTTACTCAGATGAGCCTGTTTCCTCACGTGGGAGCATTCAGACACAGAGCAGGCTTGCTGCATGACTGTCGTGTAGCCAAGATGGGCTAATCCCGTGTGCTCCTCCCTGCCCAGGTATGCCTCCGATGCCACAGTGGCCATCTTTGTGGCCATCTTGCTATTCATTGTGCCTTCACAGAAGCCCAAGTTCAACTTCTGCAGCCAGACTGAGGAAGGTAAGGCTCCTGTCCTGGCCTCCCATTCATCAGGGTTGGGGCCCCGGCAGCAAAGGATCTCCATGGTGTTCCCTGGGCCCGGGAGGGAGAACATCTCACCCTGCTGAAAAGGACTGTGGCTAGATTACAAAGTCTGGGCACAGCGTATTTTCCAAGGCTTCTCTGCATATTGTTTAGTGCAAAATCTCCTCTTTTGCTTTTTAAACATTTGAAATCGTATTTATTTTACAACAGGAACAGAAAGAGATTTCACATTTCCCATAATGCCATCAGTATTTTGGGGGTTTCTCTCTCCCTCCCAGTCTTTGTTAATATGCATATATATTATATGGCTATAATCAAAACACACATAATTTCAATCCTGTTTCTTTACTGGTTTTTGTTTTCATGTTTTTGCTCGTGGTTATGCTAGAAACATTTCCTGCTATTGCCACAGTCTTCCAATTCATTTTCTCTAATACCGGCATTATATTGTATCGGGGGCTGTAACCATTCCCCTGTCATGGAGCATTCTGGCTGTTTTGAATTCTTCATTATTATAAATAAATGTTTTCGTGAATATAGCTTTTTCTTTGAGGGTGTTTCTTCTTTAGGATAAATTTCTTGCAGTGATTGCAGCTGGGGTAAAAGAGTATATATGTCTTCAAGGCTTTTAAAACGTATCGGTAAATTGCTTTTCCAAAAGACTGCACCAATTCATAACACTAACAGGAGTGTATAACAGCTTTACCATACCATGTCTTTACCAGCAGTGGGTGTTGTAGTGATTACCGTAAATTTTAGCTAATTTACAGATATGAGATGGCACTCATTGTCCTTGCAGGCTTTTATTCCCCTGCATTAGATCTGTTTTATCTCTTGCTTGCTAATGCTGCTCTGGGCTATGTATGGGTTTTTGTTTTGTTTTTTTTCCTGGCCACGCTACGTGGCTTGTGGGATCTTAGGTCTCCAACCAGGGACTGAACCTGGACCCTCAGCAGTGAAAGCACGGAGTCCTAACCACTGGACTGCCAGGGAATTCCCAATGTATGTGTGTGTGTTTTTATCATCTCTTCTCAGAAATGAAAACACCATTTTATCCACCTCCGCTGCTGAATTGGAAGGTGGCCCAGGAGAAAGTACCCTGGGGCATCGTGCTGCTCCTGGGGGGTGGCTTTGCTCTGGCTAAAGGATGCGAGGTAACTTCTCCACTGTGGGCTGCCTAGGGCCCCTTCCTTCACCAAGAGGGCAGCTGAGAACTGCTGCACCCCTCCTTCTCGGCACCCCAGGCCTGTGCCCGTGTGTTTCTGTGTCTGTCTTCTCCATGTAACTGTTCATTTCTTGAAGACAGGGCCTCTGCCTTGTCATCTAGGTACCCTGCACCATGAATAGTGCCTGGAATAGAGAAAGTACTCTCTGAGTGATTTTCAGAAATGAGTGAATGAGTGACCCTGGTTAGCCAAAAGGGATGGGGGATGCTGGGAGGTCTCCTGTGGGGTTTGGTAATAACAATCTCTGCTTTGATTTATTCTAGGCAGATCTTTCTTTCAAGTCTTTGTGAATATTTTCACCATTACCTCTGGTTCCTCTTCCTGCTGAACTTTGTTGATATGGTTGCCATTAAAAATTTTTTTTCTCTAGCTAGGTATGTAGTGACATAGGAGGAGAGGAAGAGCTTTTGGGGGAAAACACCCAAAAATGCAACTTTCTTACCTCCCCCCTTCCCTGATAGGGAAGAAATGAGCCAGAGGGAGGGATGCTTGGTGCTGCTCTCCTCTGTCCAACCGTTCATCCATCTATCCAGGAATAGAGCGTAATACACAGACTTGGTCTATCTTACTATTGCTGTTTCCTCAGCATCTAGGACAGAGCCTGGCACATAGTGGGTACACAACTATTATTTGGATGAACAGATCCATCCATTTAGTCACCTCTCCATCCATCTCTCATTCACTCATTCATTCATCATCAAACCTTCCTATCATGTCTGTGTTAGGTCAGGCACAGGAATTACAGAGGAGATTGATATATGGTCCCTGTTCTTGAGGATTTCACAGCCTAGAGAGGGGGGCATGTTTGGAAGAGCATTTCAGAAAGAAGTGACACATGAGTAAAGAAATCAGCGTGTTGTATCCAGCTGAGGAACAGCAGACGATAAGGCTGGTGAGGCTCACAGAAGCCACTTCACTGAGGGTCAAGACAGGGAGTGTGGACCTTATTCTGAAGGTGGTGGGTAGCTACTAAAGGGTTGAGGCCAGAGAGTAACTTGGTCAGATCTGCACTTGGGAAAAATCTCCTGGATGTCTGAAGTGGAGGCCTAGGCCGGACAGGGGTTGGGGAAGACCCAGTAGATAGATGCTCCCTAGCCTTCATCTAACACAGGCTCAGAACACTGGACTCCATGGACCACTGTCTCCTTCTTGAAACTCCTTCCTCCTTTGGTCCCCAAGACATCATTTTCTCCTGTCTACTTCTAACTCTGACCATTCCTGCCCTGCCTCCTTGGTTGACTTTTCCTCTGTTCTCCCTTAAATATGAGTGTTCCTGAAGGTTCTGTCCTTGCCTGCTTCTTTGTTCACATTTCATTCTCGCCCTGGACAATCCATTCTTAGCCTAAAGCCCCAAATCTAAATTCCCAATTTCTGGATCAAATCACTCTCTTGAGCTTTAAGAACTGTGGGAGACAGAGAGGAGATGATGGACATGAGATGTTTTGGGTGACATGGTGACTGGGCATAAGAAATAAGGGGGACAGAGACCCCAGGATGACCCCCTAGCCTTCTAGGTTGGACACTAGGTGAGTCTAGTCACTGGGCTGGGGAGCCCAGGGGGAGCAGAAGATGAATTCAGGTTGGGGCATGTTGGGTCTGACACGCTCATGGGATATCTGGGTGGAAATCCAGACAGCAGACCAGCTGGGCTGGAAACGAGGATTTAGGAGACAGCAGAGTGAGGATGGAGATTGAAATTGTGGGTATGAATTAGATCACCTATGGTAATGTATGCAGAGAGAGAGAATCAGAAGTGAAGGTGGGCTGAGCTCTTTGGAGACAGATGAAGGTCCCTCCAGGCTCCGGAGGAACTGTGAGCCACGAGCCCTGTGGTGACTGCCCTCCCTGTATTTCCCAGGCCTCGGGGCTGTCAGAATGGATGGGGAAGCAGATGGAGCCCTTGCATGCTGTGTCCCCAGCAGCCATCACCTTGATCTTGTCCACACTCATTGCTGTGCTCACAGAATGCACAAGCAACGTGGCTACCACCACCCTGTTCCTGCCCATCTTTGCCTCCATGGTAAGTAACCCTGCTGGGGGTGATGACCCTTAGTCGTCATTTCATAGGAAGCTGACCATATCCTGGGTCCCTAGAGAGGCAGTGACATCAGGGGCCCAAGCCTGGCCAGGTTCTGGAGACCTGGGTCCTGAGCCCTGCTCCAACACAGACTTGTGTGCCCTTGATGGCCCTGGGCCTGCGCTCAATGCTTTGCTGGTTCTTCTTTGTATCCTCCACGCTGACCAAAAGTGCTAAGCAACAACCAGGTGCCCTAAATTTATTTATAAATGTAATAGATTATTTCTCAAGCTGGGGAGACAGGGCTTACACCAAGGATGCCATGGGGGAATGATAGAGGGTCTCTCAGAATATAGCACAGGAGAGCAGAAGGCCTGCAGGACAGGGGGACACCATTGGCTGGAACCCACCAGGAAGAATCTTGGGGGAAATGGAGCCTGGGAATGGTGGCAGGGGAGAGGACGTTCTGGGAAGATGGAGTAGCCCACATAAAGGAAATGAAGTGCATGACTGAAAACTCCCAGAAGCCTTGCTTGGCAAGCTCAGGGACTGGGGATCAGTGGGCACTGAGCCCAGAGAGGCTGCGGGTGGTGGTGGACGGGGATGCTGAGTGCCAGGCTAAAGAGCTGTGTTCCGTGGACAAGCATGTTTTTGAATTGGGACTAAGAAGAAAGTAGAGCTTACAGGAAGCTCGACTGTGACCTTCTCTTGCATTTCCTTTTGTCACTCATCACTTGGCAGTACCAACCTCAAGGTGGTACAGAAAAAGCCCTAGGTTCAGAGTCAGAAGACCTGAGTTCAAGTTGTGGGATCCTCAAACCCGTCACTGGAGTTCTTTCTCCTACTCTTGTGCTGAGGGTCAAGTAGGATGAGGCCTATGAAAACCCGCTGTAGATGTAAAACGAGCCTGGGAGAGGCTGGGGCTGTCATTCTGGAGTTGGGAGGACAGACTTACAAAGGCCTCAACACAGGATTTTGAAGTTGGTAAATTTTCATTCAGTTGCCAGGGTGTCCACGTGTATAAAAAGCAAACCCAAGTGATTTTCTCCTTTTATTCCAAGAGAAGATGGAAGTATTAGAAAGAGCAAGGTGGCCCATCTCCCCCTCCCCTAAGCAGGCTGCCCAGGGCGAAAAGATGCCGAGGAACGTCTTCTGATGCTGGTCATGCCATAGTGACGACTCCTTCCCCTAGTAGAGGCCTGGCTTTGTCACCCCCAGACACTAGTCAAATGGGGGTCTTCACCTGAGAGGGTGGCCAGGCCCTTCGAAAACAAGCTTTTCTAGAATCCGAAGTCCTGACTTAGATTCCACACAGACCTCACACTCCTGCCTCAGCACCCACCTGCAGGCAAAGGGAAGGTGGTGACCCCCCAGCTGGGTCACAGAGGCACATGGGGTACATACCCCATGGGGAAACCAGGAAGTAGACTGGTTCCTCTCAGTTACTCCTAGGAGTGTAACTGGCGCAGCCTTTTCAGAGACCTGTTTACCCATGGGAACCATAACCTGAAACCCGCTCATACCCTCTGACTCTGGGAATTTCTAATTTTTTTTCCAATAAAAAAAAATATTTATTTTTTCCTATGGTTTAGAATAGATCAATACAGTGATACATGTATATATGTTATAATAAAACCCCCTATATTAAAAGTATATGCTAAAATACTTTCCTGATAGTGGTGAAAATAAAGAAAATTGGAGGCCACTGGTAAAAAAAATATTATGTACATATTTATATTTTGTGCATAGAAAGGTTTAAGATATAAGGTTTGTGAAAATAAAATGACAAGGATTTAAAAAAACCCTACTGCTAAGAAATTATACCGGACTCTGGGAATTTTATGTCCAGGAATCTGTCTTAGGAAAATCATCAGAGATGCCTACAAGCTTAAATTATAAAGATGCACATCAAAGAATTATTTGTTATAAAAATACTTCCATAATAGCAGAGATTGGTGAAATAAGTTATCATATATTCATACAATGTAATACTATCAAGCCATTTAAAAAAAAAAAATCACAGTCCTGAAGGGTATTTCATAAAATGGGAACACATAATTTTTCAAAGCTGAAAATGTGATACATACACGTAGCCAGGAAACGTCTAATCATACCGAAGAGTATACAGACCCTTACAGACAACTCCTGTCTAATCATACCGAAGAGTATACAGACCCTTACGCTCTAGCTTCCTCCCTAGAGACAACTCCTGTTATTAATTTCTTAGGTATCTTTCTGGACATATTACACATGCACACACAGACACACACACTCTCCTTTTAAACAAATGGCATTATTCCATGGTCCTGTTCTGCACCTTATTAAATCTAATCATATATCTTGGCGATCCTTCCACTGTTAGCACATAAGACCTACTCAATTCTTCTTTTCAGCTGCAAACTGTTCCATTGTTTGTATATATGTATTTTATTTGACCGTCCTGCTATTGATGGCCGTCGAGTCTGTTTCCTGTGTGTTTTGCTGTTACAATATTGCACTGAACATCTCCGCATATGTGTCTGCTCTCATGTGCAAGTAGATCTGCATGATAGATTATTAATTTTGATATTGACAGACATTACAAATTATTATATCATTCATTCATTCAACAAATACTTATGAGCATCTGTCTACTCTGTGCTAGATGTGGCTGAATTTTAAGCTTTGAACAGATGGATACCAAATTTCATACACAAAATGATCCCAAATGTGTACAAAAACACATCCATCCAGAGGCACACACACAGGTGAGAGATGTGGTCCCTGCCCTCTAGGCTCTCTCTGTGTCAGGACAGACAGACATGTGCACACATGGGCTGCAGCAGTGCCCAGCATGGTCTCTGGCACATAGTAGGTGCCCAAGAAGTATATGCTGAGTGAATTGAGGGGGTTCAGAAAGGCTTTCCGGTAAGTTTAGCCTTCAGGGTCCAGCAGAGTTATCATCCAGCTGTGGCAAAGGGTAGAGGAGCCAGCAGGACAAAGGCACAGAGGTGGGAATGTACACAGTACATCAGGGAAAAGCTTTTTAGAGTGATGGTCCCCAGGAGGGGGGACCTGTTTTCTGCATCTGTGACGTTATAGTGCTGTGTTTTTCCCCAGTCACGTTCCATTGGCCTCAACCCGCTGTACATCATGATCCCCTGTACCCTGACTTCATCCTTTGCCTTCATGTTGCCTGTGGCCACCCCACCTAATGCCATCGTGTTTTCCTATGGACACCTCAAGGTTTCCGACATGGTAACGCAGCCGCTTTTATTCACTCCTATCAGCTATGATGCTTTTGTCATGAGGGATGCCCCATTTATTAATGACTTGTGGTGTCAAACAGTTTGGGACCAAATGTCCAGACCTAACTCATTATTTGCATTTATATGCAGCTTTTTTCTTCTTTTTTGACACGATCTCTTATTTCATAGACTGTTCTGTCTCCCAAAGCTGAGAGGTGGGTTACAGAATCTCCCACCTGGAAGTGCCCGAGCAGCCACCAGGGGAGCCTTCACTGAGCACTTGGAAGGGGTGAGGGTGGGAGTCCCACATGGACAAGATGGACTTCACAATCTAGTAAGAACCCGTGAGGACAGTCAGGAGGGGCAAGGCTGAGACGAGGGGAAATGTTAATGACAGCCAGAGAGATTGACAGAGGTGTCTACAGACATGGAAGCAGGCAGGGGGAGAGATACCACTGCCTGGGAGCAGATGCTGCCTTGGAAACAAACGCTGCCAAGGGAGGAACTCTTCAGCTCTGCTTTGGCTTTATCCCAGCCTCCGGTGGGAGGAGGGCGGCTCTGCAGCTCCGGAGTGGGGAGAGGCAAGTGGGCAAGCAGGGGAGGCCAGGAAGGCGTTAGCTAACTCAGAGCCTCCGCTGGGTATCTTTGGGACTCCATGGAGCATTCTCACACAGAGGGTGGGTCCCAGAAACCAGGAATTGCAAACTCAATTCCAATCCCCAGTGAAAACTCTGCCACAGGGTTTGAAAGCAATGGTTAGTGAGCACCCAAAGAACGCAGAGCATGCCCTAGAAAGGCTAGCACGTGCCTGTGGGACAGTGAAGGCGCTGGGGTGAGCGCTGGACCTGCAGTCAGACCCGGGCCCCTCCAGTCACTCCCTCGCCTCCCTGAGGCCCAGGTTTCCAAACGTCCCAATGGGCCTGAAGAGCCCACCTGTCCTGCCTGTTTCCCAGGCTGCTTTAGCAGTGGTGCTTCTTACTGGACACCAAGTTGCTCTGCCTGGGGGGTGGGGTGAGCACAGGGCCTGGCCCGGGGACGGGAGGCCCAGCAAACAGTCTGTCTGTCCTTTGTTCCCTTCTCCCAGAGTGCTGGTTCCCAAGGCCCATTCACCTTTGTTCTGACAGCCTGGCAGACCCCAGGGTGCTGACTCTGACCCTGTTTTTTTCCAGATGAAAACAGGACTAATAATGAACGTCATTGGAATCACCTGTGTATTTTTGGCCGTCAACACCTGGGGACGGGTCATATTTGACTTGGACAGTTTCCCTGACTGGGCTAATGTGACAGCACATTGAGACTTAGAAAGAGCCGCAAGACCACGCCCAAGGCCCCTGCCCTCCTGAGGACACCCGAACCTTCCAGTAAAACTCATAGCAGAGCTTTGGGGTTCATGCCCCAAGGTGACCCCATGATGCCCACACCCCACGGAGACCCAGCCAACGGGCCACCTCTTCCTCCAAGCCTGGGGTCTCAGCTGGGGATGGGTGTCTGGAGGACAGGCTCGGAAGTGAAGGGAGCCTCCCATAAGGCTGCTGGCGCCCATCTTTCCTGGGGGCCTGCCATCATCTCTGGGACAGGCAGGGTCCCACCCCCACTAAGCCTCGAGCTGGCCCCATGGCTGGGCTCTGGTGTTCTCTCGTCATCCAAATGGCAACCAGATCCCAGCTCTGGAGGTGAGAAAACAACCTTCCAGAGCCTGTGTCTCTCCCAGCTTACCTCGGGCTGCCTCAGATCCCTCCTGTCACTCGGAAGGGACAACCCAGCCTGGGGACAAAATGTCTGGTCCTGGGAAGCTTTCCACTGCTGGAGCGAGTGGGAATCAGAGCCTCCTGGGACCACCAGGAGTATGGTGCCACCCCCAAAGGATGAGGAATTTGAGTCGATAACTTCCGGACGACACCACCTGCAGCACCCCACTGACAGTTCACTGCTCCATTTGAACTGACAGTTTGGACCCCCTTCCCAGCTCTGTGGGGCACCTCCTTCAGCTCCTAGGCCCCTCTAATGTCTGGCCGACATTTGCTGGAATCCGCCCCTTTTGTCCCAGGCAGGTCAGTTTGGCTCTTCCGGGAGATGCTTTTCCTGCCCCACGACAGCTGGGATCACACTCCAAGTATGGGCAGTGATGGCCTCCTTTGGGGCCACAGGCGGAGGTCTAGGTCCTCCCTCACCTGCAGACCCAGAGGGAATACCTGTTAACCGCCAAAAGCAGGGTTCCTTTAGGGTTTGTCTGTCATGCCAGAGTTTGGGCACCTCTGGGGAAAGCCTCCCTCTGCTGACTGGTCTTGGCAGTCTAGCCTGCTGCTGACAGAGCATCGTTGAGAACAAGCAGTGCCCGGCGGTCCCTAAGCAGACAGCCCCTGCCCATGAGTGAATCTCCCTGAAGCTGCTAGACAGACTCCAGAGTGGTCTGGGAACCCTCAGAACAACCTGTGAGAGACACATGAGAGAATCCTATCCTCCTACCACCAACCCAATTTCCCTTCCTTCTTGTGCTGCTCCATTGATGGTATTTTTCAGAGCAGGAGAAAGTATGGGAACCCAAGGAACCCCCATGCCCCACCCGAGGACCAAGCATACGCCATCTGGTTCCTGGGTGGGACGATGTCTGAGCGCCCAGTCTGTCTCCCACGGAAGGTGCACGGCGCTGTCTCTGGCTTTCTGCTGTGTGTAGGGTGGGGGTGGGCAGGCAGGTGGATGAATGAACACTTACTGCCCACCTCCAGTGTGCCAGGCCTCCCCGGCCCTGGTGCATCAGACAGTTATCTCATTCAGTCTTTGCAGCAGCCTGTGAGATAGGCAGACATTATTAACCTCCTCTGTCTTTCATTAATACTGGGGCTCAGAGAGGCCAGGCCATGTCCAAAGTCACACATCAAGTTAGTGGTGGCTAAGGTTCCAATATGGATCTTCTGCTGCCATGTCCACTGCTGCTTCCTCTAGCCATTAAGGGCCTTGGCCTTACAGGGACGGTAGGGAAAGGTGGGTGGCCAAGAGCACATCTACCCCAAGGCCCTGCCTGCTCAGGGATCATTCACAAGAGCCCTTTCTGCTGCCTCCTCTGCGATGGGCTTAGGTCAGTCCAGGAACAGACAGGGCTGGTCTTTGCCCAGAGAAATAAAGCCTTTGGTTGGAGAGAGCAGTATGGAAATGGCTACCTGCTCCCCTGCCAAGATAAAACCGACCCACCCCTCTATCACTACTCCCTACACTGCCGCTGTTGATGTGTCTGCCCCACCAGTGAGGGCTCCCAAGGACTTGCACTCCCTGCTGGGTCCAGTGCTAGCCCTATGGCTAATCCACAGCACACCACCACAAGTGTGACTGGTAAATTAATGATTGATCAGTGTTGTCAATCAGATGTATGCCTGGTGGTAGTGAGCAAGGTCAGTGAAGGTCATCCAACGTGGGCAATGAAGGATGAGTAGGACTGGCCAGGCTGATGGGGGAGGATGTCGTGGGGTGGGTGGAAGGGTGGGGGGATTCCATCTGGTTGAGGAATGACAAGAAAGCTGGGCGGGGGTTCAGGAGACCAGATCCGAAGGTTGAGGAGGCTGACCAAAGGCTGTTTCTAAACAGCGTCTTTTGAAGTTGGCTGGAGCTGCACTAACATTTATGGCCAGTGCAGATCAGGATTGCTTTCGGCTGCAAGTAGGAGAAAACCTAGCTAACAGCGGCTTAAATCATAAGGGCATTTAATATCTACTTAACAAGAAGTCTGGAGGTAGACGGTTGCTGGCACTGGTCCAGCAGCTATCTCGGGCCACCGAAGACTTGGGATTGATCGCCCACTTGGCTATCTTAAGGGTGCTATGCCTTTGCTGTCATGCTTGACCCTCATTATACACATCTGCATTGAAGGCAGGAAGGAAGGTGTGCGAGATGGGGGCATGATGGCGCCTACTGCATCTTTCCCTTTCATTAGAAAAGCAAAAGCTCTCTCAAAAGGCCCTACAATCTTCCCTTTATGTCTTGTTGGCCAGAACTAGATCATATGCCCACCCTTAGGCCAATCACTGACAAAGGGGAATTGGAATACCATGAGACCAATTAGGACTCATTTCTTGGGCTTGGGAAATTGGCCTATGTTTCCTGAAATCAAGAGGTTTTCACCTACTACAAAATATGGCTTCCAGCAGGGGAAGAAAAGGGGGAGCGGCTGGGTAGGTGATGAACCAGGGTCTGCTATTATGACCCTGTCAGAGGGCTGCCCTCACTCCAGGCTACTTGAGTGGCTCCCTTTCCATGGAATTCAGTAGAAACACATTCCTAGGTAGGAAGAGAGTATGTGTTTGGTCAAGGGCTTCACCTCTGCCTCCACTTCCCGGAGAACCACTGGATTGGGAGGCTAGAGTCTGAGTCATGGACCAAGCTCAGTTGACGTTGGATACTGAACAAGTCAGTCCACTCTCTGGGCCTCAGTTTCCATTAGGAAGGGGCCGGACTAGAGCATCTGTAAGGGCCTTTCCCCAGAGTCATGAACACCCTTACCCCACTGACCCTTCATCTGCTTGGGCGAGATGCAGCCCCTGCCACATCCCCATGATGTCTTGGTTTAAAGTCTATTACATGGCCCACACCCTGCTCCCATCTGGGTCTTAGCCATTTGCTGAAAGCCCTCTGAGACCTTTTCCCCATTGATATTTTTGCCTCTTATATTTTGTAAAGAGGTTCTACCCAAGACCCTTGATTTCCTTCTTCTTTGCATACATCAAACATTTGGGCCCAAGGTTAGCTGAACACATGATCCTGACCAGGATTGCTCTCTGAACTGTTTTGCCAGGGACTTATGACTCCACAAGGATCCCATGCATTCCAGGGTTCCTTATCCTTTGATCTGGAATTGGGATCCTTCCCTGTCCCTCTGAGCTGAGGACTTCCTTAGGGAAAGACCTGGACTGCCTCCTCTGGCAAAGCCAGTGAGCAGGGCATCTCCCTGGGACAGGAAAAGTCTTCCTTCCTCCCCACCATCCCTTACACACAAGAATAATGGATAATGAAACTGTTGCTCTGGACTTCAAGCAGGGAGTCAGCTCACTAGCACAGAGTCCAATTCTCAAAATGAATACGGACATTCCCTGGTAGGACCCTTGATGGCATGTTCTTGTTTGTGGAAATAAAGACCAAATGCTGGACTGTCTGGTTAAAAATTACACCTGGAAGTCCTATCTTAGCTCAGAACTCCTTTTTCTGGGGTACTCTCTCCCCTGGTCCCACATCCTCTTAAAAGCCTTGTCTTCCAACCCACCAAAGAAGCTTCTTTTCACATTAAAAAAAATTCCATCATGATAAATCTTCCACATCACGGGATGGCTTTTGACATTCTCCGACAGAAAGCTTATCATTTCCTGCCCAAATCCTTGTGCTCCAATAGATATTCAGTTTACTTCCTGTGGTGTCCTGAGCCAGGATTCAGGTTCTCACTTCCCTGCCCCAGAAACGCCTTCCAGGCGCTTCCCCTGATATGCTTGTGCAAATGCCCACTTCTATTCTCAGAGACATAGGCCCACCCCACTGCTGGCAGTGTTAAGAGTAGCATTTATGTCCCTGCTTCCAGCTATCAAGGGTAGAGAAATATGACAATTCAACCTCAGAACACCCTGTTATCCAATCAAGAAATTTTAACTAGTTTTTATATCTAAAAAGTTACCATGAACACAGTGAAAAAATTCCAACAGTACAAAAAAGTATTGAGACATGTCCCTCCACTTTAGACCTTGAGGCCTCCAGGCCCTTCCAGAAAGGCAACCATTGCCCAACATTTCCTTACATGTCCTTCCAGACATGTTACATATACAGTCAGCCCGCAGGGGTTGGCTCCAGGACCCCTGAGGGTACCAAAGCCTGCAGATGCGCAAGTCCCTTGTATAAAATGGCCTAGTACAGTTGGCACCCCCGTATCTGTGATCCTGCATGGTGGTTGGTTGAATATGCAGATGCAGAACTCGAGGATACAGAGGGCCAACTGTATACAAGCTTATGTAATAGGTATGTGTCCTCTTTATTACATCTGGGAGCATACTATACACATTTTCTGTCCTTGTTTCCACCCCTCCCCCTTAATTTATTTGGAGATCATTCCATTTCAGGACATATTAAGTTTGACTTTATTTCCCCATTCAATAGTTAATTTTGTTTTTATTTTTTTATTTTTTATTTTTGGCTGCTCCGCAGCTTGTGGGATCCTAGTTCCCCGACCAGGGATTGAACCCAGGGCCCGGAAGGGAGAGCACCAAGTTCTAACCACTGGACCACCAGGGAATTCCCAATTTTGTTTATAAACTGAGGTAAAATTAAATTCAGTGAATTGCACAGATCTTAAGTGTACAATTCAGTGATTTAGACAACTGTATAAAAGGTGTAAGCAACACCTCATTTCCATCTCCTTAACCCCTGACGGTTCTCTTGCCCCTTCCAGGAATCTGCACCTTCTTGAGGCAACCACTGTACTGATTTCTGTCAGCATGGGTTGGTTTTGCCTGTTGAAATTCATGTAAATGGAATCATACAGTACCTACTCTTGTGTCTGATTTATTTTGTGCAACAAAATGCTTTAGAAATGCATTCCTGTTGTGTGTATCCATTCATTCCTTTTATCGTTGTTGCTAAGTAGTGTTCCATTGTATGAATATGCCACGGTTTGTTTATTCTCCTTTGATGGACGTTAGGTTTGCTCCAGTTGAGGGCTATCTGAATAAAGCTGTTATAAAATTCTCTGCATAAGTCTTTTTGTGGACATGTGTTTTCACTTCTCTTGGCTGTGTGCCTAGGAGTAAGCCTCAGTCTTTTTAAAAGCTGCATAGTATTCTATTGTAAGTGTATACCGTATAATAAACAAGACCCCTGTTGATGGGCATTTGGGTCATTTCCAATCTTTTGCTAGGACTGTAATAAACATGTCTGTACTTAAATCTTTGTAAACGTACCTGAGTAGAATACTTGCCTAGAATGGCATGCTGGATGAAAACATATATGTATTTAAATCTGGGACAGAGGGGAATTCCCTGGCAGTCCAGTGATTAAGGTTCTGCACTTTCACTGCTGAGGGCCCGGGTTCCACCCCTGGTTGGGGAGCTAAGATCCCACAAGCTGTGTGGCACCTCGGTCCCCCCACCCCCCCAAAAAAATCTGGGACAGATATTGCCAACTTGCTTTCCAAAAAGGCTATGCCAATATATATTCTCAAGAACTGTGCATGAGGAATCCCTGGTGGTGCAGTGGTTAAGAATCCGCCTGCCAATGCAGGGGTTTGAACCCTGGTCCGGGAAGATCCCACATGCTGCGGAGCAACTAAGCCCGTGCACTGCAACTACTGAGCCTGCGCTCCAGAGCCCGTGAGCCACAACTACTGAGCCCGTGTGCCACAACTACTGAAGCCTGTGCGCCTAGAGCCTGTGCTCCACAACAAGAGAAGCCACCGCAATAAGAAGCCCACGCACTGCAATGAAGAGCAGCTCCCAGTCGCCGCAACTAGAGAAAGCCAGCAACGAAGACCCAATGCAGCCAAAAAAAAAAAAAAAAAGAACTGTGCATGTGGCCATATTCTCACATATCCTGAGTAACTCTGTATATAATCAAATTTCTCAATCATTGCTACTCTGATAGTTGCAAAATGCTATCTCATGATTTTCATTCTCATTTCTTTAAACTGCAAGTAACATTTATAATTTTTTCACATATTTATAATCCATTTGTGTATCCTTACTGGGGGGGTAAACTCCTTTTTTCCTATTTTTAAGAGTTTTTTAAAAAGGCCTTTTCTTATTCACTTATGAGAACTCTTTATATATTAAGGAAATTAGTCATTTGTCATAAGAATATTTATAGTGTATGCTAAAATATGGTAAAACTCTGTTTATTCTTCTTTTTAATCCTCCCCACCTCCTGCCCCCAGCTATTATCACATATTTTTCCATAAGAATTTCTGAATCAGCTTCTCTAGTTCCAAAAAAAACCTGGTTGGCAGTTTACCTCTCTGACTGTCTCTTTGCTACTCTGCCTCACTCTCCAGGGTTTCCTGACCTCAGCACAACTGGCATTTCAGACCAAATAAATCTTTGTTGTAGGAAGCTGTCTATGCACTGCAGGATGTTCAGCAGCATCCCGGCATCTATTCACCGGAGACCAGCAGCAACCCCGCACTTCCCACCCCCCCCCCCCCCCCCGTCGTGACAATGAAAAATGTCTCCAGGCATCCCCAAATGTCTAAGAACCACTGACTCACTCTGATCTAACTACACAGGCCTCTTTGCTGCTCCTAGAGCACACCAAGTACACTCCTGCCCCATCACCTCCTTTAAATCTCTGCTCAAATGTTACTACTAGTCAGCCTGTTTTAAATTATAACTCCCCACCCACCCCACACCCTCTATAATGTCTGATTTTTCTCTATTGCATTTTTCATCTAGCGTACTATATAATTTACTTCTTTAGTTCTTTATCTTGTTTGTCTATCTCTCTCCTATCTTTAAGACTGTAAGCCCCATGAAGGCAGGGATTTTTGCCTGTTTCGTTCAATCCTGTATTCCCTGTGCCTAGAACACACCTGGTACACAGTAATGGCTCAATACACATTATGAATCTAAATGAATCAGAACAGGTTTATAGATTAGGTTAGATGAGAAATGACATCTTTATAATATTGATCCATGCTACACAACAAAATGTCATTTTTTCATATATTAAACTTTTATGTCCTCCTGTAAAGTTTTCAAGTTTCTTACAAATAAGATATACTAAATTTTTTTTCCAGTAAACATTTGCCCAGACTGTTTTTCCCCATTTGTGGACTTGGGAAGCCAAAATACCTGACTCAAAAGGGGTGAGGACGGGCTGCCAGCTGCTTCCCTGGCCAGTGACCCTTGGGCCTGGCATCATGTCTAGAAGCCCTTGCTGTCTCTCTTGCCCATCACCCAGCCCAGAGTGCTTCCTCCTGGCAGGGCCTCCACTGCGGCTGATGGCACTCCCTAGGTATCCATCTCTGTCCACCTCCCTGAGGGGCGCCAGCTAAGGGATATTGAAGTGATATCGCTCAAGACAATCCCACTGTGTGGGGACTCCCCAGAGACCCAAGGGCTCACCTCTGAGCTCTCGTGTGGGGCAGGTGACAGACACACTGAGGGTGACTTCACCTTTCCTGGCCAGCTCCCTAGCCTAACAGGAGGGGCCTGTGCTAGGGGACAGATTGTCCAGCAGAGTAGGGGTATTGGAGAAGAGGCCTGTCCTTGACAGGCTCTGAGAGGAGAGAAAGAGGGGGCTTCCTTCCTGTTCTCTGTTTCCCCAGACCCTTCCAGATGGGCCCC